AGCATGTCCACTAGTCCCGCAGAGCAACCGGTTTGTGTGCATATTTTTTAGCGTGACAATCCTGATGGTCCTGCATTTGAACTTTCACAAAAAATTTCCTGACTCGCTTGCCCATCGCGGTGGGCAACCTAGTTGGTAGGCGTGGTAGGCACACGACTGTGCTCGGTAGTCATTGACCTGAAAAGCATAACGGCGACAGCTTGGAAACCATGTGTGCAATATGGCGTAGCAATATTTTCTCATCTCGTAAAAAAGAATTATACGCATGGGCTAAGAATTTCGCGAACTTATATTGAGATTTTCTTTCTCTTTTTCGTGTCGTATGATAAGCCAGTGGTGGTAGCGACGAGCACTTCCATTGACGCGTTGATAAAAAGCATCTCCTATATGTATACTGAAGGTCAAAAAAAGACACATTCCTTCCTTGACTTTAAGATACACTCATCACTTTCTGATTAGACATTTCCATAGCCATATTCAACAGCATATTGTATACTATCATGATGCTCCGCCACAGCCTTCTGGACGAGCGCCATCGAGAGATTCTGCCACGCGACCGTGATTCGGTACCTGAGTTCAGCGAGATCGTTGATTTCTCCGCCACTGTAGACCACCCTGTTGAGCTCCGCCCGAACCGGGTAATTGAGGGGTTTAGGTCAGGTGACATTCGTATATTCCGTCTTCTTCAGGTACTCGAACGCCCTTCCATTCCAAGCAGGGTGAGAGTTCTTATAACGTCATTCGATTCCGCCATTTGGGGAGGCACCCAATACTGTAGCAGTGCGAAGTTCCCAGGAAGGCACAGGCAATGACATGGAGGCAAGATATTCTCTATCGGTATATATCGGTTTCAATATTCCAGGAACTTCGGGTCCATACCACCAACCAGCGCCGCGCTGAAGACGATATCCTGTGTCGTAGCAATGTAGTTGTTGAAGTTGCTCGATGCTGGAGGTCTTCCAGATCAAGAGTGTTGGTCTCCAGGTAGCTATCCATGGATGACTCCATACAAGTATGTAGTTTCATAGGAGGAGGTTACGTGAATTCCAATGACGTTCCAGTCAGGCAACAATTGGAGATGACTTCATATTTTGGTGTACATGAAGGTGATGGGCGAGAGCCAGCTCCTGCTTATCGAGGAACATCTTGGGTATCTTCGCCTTTACTCGTATCCACGTCCTCTGTCTGGGCTGCGATAAACTTTGCTGATATGTGACTCAACCGAGATGTGTTTTTTTAGCTCCCTGCTGCATATTCAGCTAAACCACAAGAGTAGTATAAGCTGGTTTCAACAAGCAAGGGGACAGTGATATGGGAGCGTTAATGGTGGGTGACAGATAGTGATTACAAATGACTTAGGCTGAGAAAGTGCTTCCAACCAACTTCTTCCTTTGAGATGGTAGCTTTTACACAGGCAAATCATGAACGTTTTGTGTTAGAGACATCGATGACGGGTTATCTGTTGATAAGATAGAGGAGGGGCTCTCTTCACCCTCCTAGTGACGTCATGACTTTTACACTCACACTTCGTGCCGCAGGGCGTGGCAATATGACACCACGGATAACCAAACTTGCTGAAATTAGTTGTGATTGAAGCTCACAGTCCCACAATTCGTATCCGCAACATCAGCGTGGCGTCAGAGTGAAGGCTATTCCCGACTATCCTGAGAACAGAAAAAGCGCAAAATTTCACTCAAGAATATAATCTCTCAGATCCTACACAATCATGATTGATGGGTTTTTCAAGTATCCCCACCAGAACTAGGTTGCCCACCGCGATGGGCAAGCGAGTCAGGAAATTTTTTGTGAAAGTTCAAATGCAGGACCATCAGGATTGTCACGCTAAAAAATATGCACACAAACCGGTTGCTCTGCGGGACTAGTGGACATGCTGTAGCATGTCTCCTACGATATATTGCACACATGGTTTCCAAGCTGTCGCCGTTATGCTTTTCAGGTCAATGACTACAGAGCACATTCGTGTGCCTACCAAGCCTCATAACAACTGTTCGGTGGGTGGATACACCTGCACCGGAGGAACTGGAAGACTGCTGGGTGTTCCAGTATAGCGACCTTCCGGTCCCTCCGGTATAGGTGTATCCTCACATCAGGCATTCTATCGGTTGATTTATTTGTCCGCCCGGCTAGAACCGCTAATTTCTCCAAATTGGGTGTGATCAACCGATAGAATGCCTGATGTGAGGATACACCTATACCGGAGGGACCGGAAGGTCGCTATACTGGAACACCCAGCAGTCTTCCAGTTCCTCCGGTGCAGGTGTATCCACCCACCGAACAGTTGTTATGAGGCTTGGTAGGCACACGACTGTGACACAGCCTCTAGATCTGCGCTGTTAATCGGCGCAGATCTAGGACTGTGTTATTGTTCATTAGGCTGTTTCGAACCAGTTGCTGCTTGAAGTTGCCATTAGGGTATTGACCAGATGAAGAAAACCCTGCAATAATGCTGCCCTGTACTAGAGTGCTTATCGCATCGGAGATGAAAGGAAGGCAGAGCGGCAATGTGTGCGGACGCGAACTTACTCGCATATTAGTGCTCTGTCTAGCAGCAGGTTGTGGTATCGTTCAAATAGCTGCCATGAACGTACAACCGTTTGTGGAAGGCAGCTATCTCACAAGCTAGGCGTCGTGATTCGAGGCGTTCAGCTTCGCCTGTGCACATTCTCGTTGCTGATTCTCAGCATGTTGTTAATACTGTAAATTTAACTGATGTGGATGAGCTGACGTAGCGTGAAGTAAGATATTCTTCTATAGTCTATAGTGTGCATGAGATGTGTCTGCGTTATGAGAATTTATGCCAACTTCTTCTCGAAATCGTGGATTTCACAAGAAGGCTCCGTCTAGTTAAAGAGGTCTGTAGAGGCACAGAACTTTTGCATTATTTCCTTCGACGATGGCGTTACATCCATATTGCCTTCAAGGATTCCTCGCACCTGAAAAAGAATTGCTCACTCAAAGAGGAAGTGTAAGGTGTATGTTTTCATAAGGCAATAACAACGTGGAAATGGAATCAGGAGTTGAAACTCCGAACCACTTGATCACTTGCACAGTGTTTGCGTGTTAGGACGGAAAAAAGCTTCAACTCCACCTCTTCTTTTCGACCTTGCAACTTGTAAAGGGCTCTCTTGGCTTTGTCTGCGCGTGAACCTCCCGAGCTTACCCTCAACGGAGCATCGTTGCTACAGCGGCCATACGGATAGAACGAGCGAATGCCTAACCTTTCACCACGTAGTACATATTCATAATCTGTTGCCTCTTCTCCATTCAGCATTTCACAAGCCGCATAATGAAGGTCCTGGCTCCATTGCTGAAAAAATAAAAATTTGAATTCAAAACCTCGTCTGAAAAGTGCACCGGAGAGAACAAATCGCTCGAATAGAATAGAATATACAATGGGCAGTGTATTGAACATCAGGTACA